CTACTGTGTATTCCAAAAACATTGTGCGTCTTTCGGAATTAAATTCTAAAAATATCACGTAAATTTCGTTACAATTTCTCAGAAACGATCATTGCGGGAACATTGTGGGCCGGGACTAAGATTTTTGATGCGATAAAACGATAGTTCGAGGAACGATAGAAGCGGGAAAATGTAACATTATTTTATATGGGATGTATTCGGGACCGAACAAAACGGACGATGCATCCGGGAAAACGATAGTTCCGGGAACGATGGATAGAGGTTTCACTGTATATGATTTAACTTATTTTTGCCACTGATGATGACCTCTTGAGGTCAAAACATGTTTGGCATTAGCGTCATTTAAATTGTAAACAGTTTTGTTTGTATACATACTTTATATTTCAATACACTACATGGTATGCAAGGTTTTAACAAGTATGTGTGTTGTGTGCCACTAGACAAATACATACATGCCATAGTAAGTTTGACAACCAATGTATCAAAAGAGGCTCAATGTACCAAAGAAATGTTTGTTACACACTGACTTATAAAATTTCACATATAGTATGTGAGTCCAGTGTACATCACATAGCACAGGACCACAATTACTTACACTAAACAACAGATCAACACCTCTCCCCAATAGGAAAAAGCAATAATCATGAAAGAAAAATCATATCTAATATGTATAAAACAAAATAAAATGTGATCTGCTGCACTTTATGTTCTATTATGTAATGTAAAAATATTGTTTAAATCAGCCCACGAACTACAGCCTGCAGCAGCAGATTAAACATTAGTAAAGAAAATTATCATGACGCAAATAATGTTACAACATTGTTGTTATGTGCTTAGGTATATATCACCACAATACTTCTGTCAGTGGCAGCAATTTAAAAAAAAAAGGCTAGTACGGGTTATTTTATAACAATGCATCATGTGTAGAGGTTATATAGAACTGAATGAGAAGTGAGATTTAAAAGTAAGTCACTGTGGTCTATTTTAAGGCATAACAGAGGGGGCGCTGTGAGACGCTCCACACCTTCCCAGTATTTTAATAATACATTTTCCTTGATTTTAAATTTATGAGTGGTACATCTGAAAACATAATTTTACAAAACTTACTTTGCAGCACCAATGAGTAGATCTTTATCATGCTTCCCAGGCAACCACCACTCAGGAAGGTCAGCTGATGGCTGACACAGCTTGAGTCGCTCATCCAGCAGAGCATGTGTCAGTATGTCTTCACGAATCTTATTCAGGAGTTCTATCCTTTCCAGAGTCTTGCGTGCTTTGTCTTCACTAAGTATCTCAACGGGGAAGTCCATGCACTCTAAATACAAAAACAAAAAGATACTGAGAGATTACTTCATTACTTACTGATTACCAACAAACAATCAATCATATGTGTTTCTGTTTTAACCTGCAATAATTTGGGCAAGTTTCTATTGAACCAACCTCATTTCATACATAACCTGTGCCTGAAAGGGCAAGATTAACTGAAAAATCAAACAAGTCTGAGTTGTGCAACAGCTCTTCAGGTTCTCACTGTGTGCACAAATGGGGCTATTTATTAGTACACAATGGGAGAAATATGTAAGCCACATAGATAATTTATATTTCTGTAAAACTGCTTATGCCTACCTTCTTCCTCAGTAAGTTTAAGCCCACAAACTCGCTTGCACATTGCACAGAAGGACTTGTAATACTCTGTCATGGTGTCATCAAATTTCTTATCCAATCGAGATATTGCTCGAAATCTGGTCCAGTCATGGCAATTTCGCTTCCTGAAACAAAAATATTCAATAAGCCCACACAAACCAAATGAGGACATAAAATTAAAATAAAAACGTAGTTCAACAATGGGGCAAGAGCAACTAATACGTATCATATGACTTAATATTTGTGAAAACAGCATAAAAATACACAATGACGTTATTATAAATGTCAAAATGTGTACTGTTAACAATTAACTAATAGTGATTATATGAGATCTGTACAGGTTTCTTCTGTGAGGCTTGCAAGTAACCAAATTTCTTACAACAAATTACTAGCCTGTCAATGCTTCACCAACATAATTTTTAAACCACCAAAGTCCAGAAACACATAAGAATAAAAATTTATAACACCCTAGTTCTACTGATATTCTTAAATGGGAATGAAAACTGAACAAGACAAAAGAATGACAGGCACAAATGAAATTCAAAAGGAAAGCAAAATACACTTGGATGGACTACTGAACAAAAACATGTTGAAAGAATGCAACCGACACATTCCCCAATTTGTTACAAACCATGAACCTGACGAATTCAGAAACCAAAGATGACGTTTAGATGAATGAGGCTGGATGGGGGGGAGACACTATATTTTTATCTGCAACTTCTGATCACAAATTTGTACGATCAGGCACTTCTGCTTCATGATTTACATATTATCAATCTGTGCAGACAAATGTCTAGGATTCTAGAGTAAGAGACACAAGCATTTATGCTATAAACACCAGTGCACACTTAATGTTATTGTGGTACTATTTTCTTCACCCTTGACTTCAATTTGTTTTATGAACCTTCTAGATGGCTTAGTGTCAGAGTCCATATAATCATCAACACATTTTGTAAATTGTATGTAAAGTGGGAGGGTGGGGGGAAGCGATGTAAGACATCACAATAATGTCACTGGTCAATACAAACATTCATCCCCGCTCCCCATCTGAATAAGATAATATTGTTAGACAGCACTGGCATGTGTTTGCTATCATCACTTTTCTTCATCACTTCCTCATGTCAACTTGATAAATGCATAAAATTTTAGGTTCACACATTGAGTGTGAAGATGGTTGTCTTCTGGGATGATGTTGCACTGTGTAGTCTGGTACATATTAACTGACACTTCAGAGAAGCTTACTGCCTCTGTCATCAGTACAATGTTCATTGTCCTGATGATCAACTACTTTGAATTACATGGTGCGAACATCCCAGAAGGCAGCCATCTTGAAGCTGTTTATATTTGCCATACACTACATGGACTACCCACCTATCAAATTCCACCCCATACGTGGAGATGGTACGAAAGAAATCAGCCTCTTCCCTGCGTGACCATTTTCTCTGGTAGACTTCCATCCTCTGTCGCTCTCTTTCACGTACTATCTGTTCGATCTTTTCTCGGCGCTCAATTTTCTGGAAAGTATACACATTATAAGAAACTCAATGTAACAGATAAACAACTTTTGCAAAAATAAGACCAACCTTTAAGTTCCTTGCTACGTTACCAAAATTACTTAATTTTTCTTAGGTTCTAATAAATTCTTCACTACTTTGTAATAACATTAAAAATGAACGTCGTCCATCTACACAGCTATTTATTCCAGTGCCTTATTTACCACTTTACCACATTTTGGTCATTGTAGACCATCTTCAGGCAACTCAACTTTATAACACATATTGATAATGTATTTTATCTCAGAAATACAAGTAAACGTGTGAAATGCAATTTTTTTAACTACAGTAAGTACTTGTTTTGTATATTTTAACCACAATTTATGTCACACACAGTTCAGTAATAACCCTTGTATACCATACCACCAAAACTTGAAGTGGTATAAATAAGTGGAATAAATAAACTGAGTAGAAGAATATTCATTTTTAATATTATTACATTATATTACACAGCAGAATACCTCTATAAAGATTCTTCAGTATTTTGTTTCCATACATGTTTAATGTATGTTCTTCCTTTAAAGCAATGGACTTGCTTCTAAACCACACAAACACAAGGCAAAATTATTTACCTATGCATATAAATTGTTTCAGGAACTAGATGAGTAACAGATTTTAAACAATAATAAGCATTTTCTGAACATAAACTTTACTGTCACAGAGGATTTATTTACAAATCCTCATATGCTCTAAATTAATGACTTATTCTAATGAATATGGATCCTTCCAGGAATTACTTTAACAAGTCAGGCAGACATTAACATAAATATTGCAGTTCATAAATGCACAATCTGTATAAAAATAAGTATTTTAATTTTTATTCTTACATAAACTGTTTAAATTAACACATTTAAAGTAATATTTATTAAACCTATACTTTACTTAAAACTATTACTCAATTGAGAAGTAAAGAGAACTACTTGTAACTACCTGTGTCAGAAAGCTCTACCCCACTAATGAAAGTATGTGATACATTACCCACAGATACATGGCTAGATGTTGCAAATCCCATCCTTGCGTGTTCAGTACGTCTCTGATTACAGCATGCTGGTCTGCTTCTACCCCTTGCTATAAACACATAACACAGGTACAGACTGTCACACTACAAGTGCATACCAACACTACACTACTTACAACTCATGCATGCATTTTCCAAACAACCATATACAACATGTCAGTAAACGGTGAAACCCAGATATGAAATCAATTGGAAGATGACAATACAGAGCCATTTAAATACATGTTTTGTGCTTAGAAATTATGAGCAGTTTTTTAAATAATGTTCAATTTCTACAGTTTTCTAGTTACAAAATTCTGTGTAATATAAGTAAAAGTACAAATCTACTTTGTAAGGTAAAGATAAAATTGTTCTTGTGCTTAAACACAATGCCTTGAAGGCACATGATGGCATGAAGGTAACAATGCATACATTCTTAACCTCGGTACTAGAGAGGAGGTGAGCAGTCGGCTTCACAGACCATAAACTTTACCCCAAAAAATATGAATCCCCACATTAAGGTTGGACAAAAGACTGGGGAAGGCCCCGGAGACATCTCGCCATGGTGGTAAACACACACATCACTGCTTCTCCCCAGAAATCAAAGTCTTTATAAAATCATAAACTGGGTTTTACTGTAATGCATATTTTAAAAATGGACAAAACATGGCACAAAACATTCTGGCACTCAATGCACTTATTCAAAAGTATGCCAAAAATTAAAATCGTTACAACATAATTTATCTGACAGTATGAAGCTGGTTTTGATAACCTCTAATACAGACAGCGTTCATCTCATATTCTAGTCTTTCTTTTCATCATTCAACTGGTTCCAAATGTACACAGTACAAAGTTTAAATTCCTCACACAGAATATTTCAGTATAAGAATTCCAAAGTACAGATTTCAGCACTGACAGTGATAACATGTCTAATTTCCAGCCACAGATCAGCAATCCTTACCACTTTCATGGTTTTCCTCACTTCTTAACATAAAATATTGCAAGAGAGACTGCATCATAAAAATTCCTAATGCCTTACACCAACATCTTCCCAGACAAGAACAGCACTAAAAAATAATAGTAGTAAAAATCTAACATCAATTTTTATAATAATGATCATTCCAAAGATGTTTAAATACATCCCTGGTAAACACTTAAAAGAAATATGTCGAATAAGCAGATGCAGAAAGACAATAGGGGGGTGGTCCCCCAAAATAAGGTGTGGGCAGGGGAAGGTCAACAACCTCTTACCAGACTTGAAAGGATTTGGTGCAAACAAAGCAATGAATGGTGACTGAGAACTGAGTGATGATGAAAATATAAGAACCTAAAAGAGGGAAAGTAAAAGGAGAATGGAGAAAAACTGCAAATGTCAAGCTTCATAATTTGTACACTGCTTGAATCAAGGAGAATAGATGAGCAGGATATGTAGCACACATGGGGGAGATTAAACTTGATACAAAAATTTTTGGTTAGAAAACCAGAAGAAACCAATACACCTTGAAGATCAAGAAATAAATGGGATAATATTAAAATTAATCTTAAAAAGTGTGGCATGATGATGTGGCCAGTATTCAACTGGCTTAGGATGTGGTCCAGTGGTGGGTTATTGTGGACACATTACTGAACCTCCATATTCCACAGAAGACGGAAAAGTTCCACAACAGCTGAGTGACTGAATATTACCTTCCCAAGATTTGCTGCATGGAATTAGTTGATATTCAGAAAATTAATCTGTCACAGGGCTGTATTGCAAGTTATCAGGGGTGTACTGTATAAGAGGCATAGATTTATATCTTACAGATGTTTGCCTGTAGCTATTCTTCTCTTTAACAATCATGATATACATACTGTCAATTACCCTAACAGCTTCAATAAATTCTTTATAAATCTCAGCACTCTAACACAAATATGCACACAATTTTACCTACGTATCCCCTTGCCAAATACAGAAAAGTAATATACAGAAGCAAAGCCTATGTTATGTGCCAATTCATGACAACAAAACAGTGCTGTAAATGGTGAAGGGCACAGATTCACTGATTAATGTTGCATAACACAGATGCACAGTTCTTCATTTAAAGCCAGTGGTAGTAGGAATTTGATACAATTCATAAGAACCACATGAAATTCAAATTATCACATTTTCACTGCAACATAAACATAATGCTTTATTTCCACACTATGCAAACTTTTCTCCTTGTGATGGAAATTGGAACTACAACAATAGCCGCAAAATTCATTTTCAGACATGGTAAACCTATGGACCACATCAAAATAATGAAGTTCACCTTATTCTTTTGTAAAAGACCAATATTTGTAATATGTTAGTAAAACAATTCTATGTGAAATATGTTTAGAACTTCTAGTTCCATTCCTGACATATGAACTTGACACCGTTTCTCTCACGACTGTAACAGAATGGAAGTTTCTTATGACAGAAGTGAAGTAAGCAAGAAATGTTGAAGATTTCCGTCTTCTGGGTTGTTACACTGTGTAGTCTGGTCGATGTTAACCAACGTTTCAGAGGTCATACCGCCTCCGTCATCAGGCAGTATGACCTCTGAAACGTTGGTTAACATCAACCAGACTACACAGTGCAACAACCCAGAAGACGGAAATCTTCATACTCACCGCTGTGAAAACCTCAAATCCTACAAGAAATGTTGACTACATCACTAGCTTAATATCCTTTTGTGTGCTGTGTTCATTTCCATCACTGGATTAAATGACAACACAGATAAACCAAACATATGCAAAATGTTTTAACGGAAAGATCAGGGAGCTGTTCAAATAAATACAATTACAGCAAAGAAATTACATGTTGCTTTAAAACAAAATATTACGGAAACTCTGCACATTACATCTAGCAATACAAATACTTACTGGGTACAGTAGACTTCACACAAATTGCTACATTAATTTGATGTGCAGTATACAAAGTAAAGATAAGAGAAGAAGTGTTGTTACCATTCCTCAGATGACTTTCAGATCAAAATGCTTAGTTCTGGACTCTATTGGCTGCTGTCAAGTGATGAAATACTGTGATTTCCACTAATTTAAAAATTTCAAAGTAATATATGTAATTCTTCCACTTTATGTTCACCTACACGGATAAGTTTGCAAGAAATTATGTCCTGAACATTAACACATATGTTCAACAGTCTCCATTGCACTAACCTAATAAATAGCATTAAACAACTGATGCCATTGTCAATGTTATTAGCATGTATTTTTCACCATTCACTGTTGCCTTACTTACATACCATGCTTGCTGATGAACCATATTGCCCACCAATCAAAATGCACAGCTACAACTTTAATCTAATTTCTTAATGTTTTATTCTTTTAAAATGCAGATTGTTCAAACTGAGACAGATAAGAAATGCCTAGAAAACTGAAGTTGATAAATATGAAGGGAAAAACCTTTTGGAGAACCTGCATGTAAATGTAAGGAAAATATTAAAATTAATTTTTAAGAAATATTATATGACAATGTGTTGATATCATCCGGCTGTATCTTCTACTATAAAAATTTGTGATTCCTCGTTGTCGTCAAAAAATGACGTCATCAACAATGCCAACTTATATTTGTTTATACTTGGCATTGTTGTGGAACACAATGCCGAGTAAACAAATAATGCTTCACAACAAAAACTATCAAGCCAGTCGCATGATCTCTGTTCCAGAAGCAGCACGTCACATTCTTAGAAATTGACTGACAGTTGGCCTAAAACATCAGGAAAGTGAAAGAAGACGTTATCAACTATTTGAAGTACCAAGTCCAACAAGGTAAACTGATACTCATTCGATATATTACGATTAAGAAAGTATTATGAAAACTGACTTTATGATCGATTTTAGGACAAAGATTTGCAAGGGTGGGGCTGGACGTAAAAAGTTGACTGAACAAGAACAGTTGGCCTCTGAACAGCGACGTAAAGAACTACAACATCAGACCTATTTAACAAATAATGAAAAGCCAGTCGCATGATCACTACCCCAGAAGAAGCACATCGCCTCCGAACAGCGATATAAAACTATTTAAGAAATGTTTGGTTTCTTACTCAAGGGTTAAAACACTTGAATGAGACACTAAACTAACCCCCGAAGGGTTGGTTGCTTTTTAAACACTTGACCAAACCCCCAAGGAGGTTTAGTTCAGTTCCTTACACAAAATTATAAAACGCAACCAACGCTCTGCTCTAGTTTAGTAAAAAAGGGCAGACTCTTCTGAAATGGTAACATATCTTCAGGCTGCATAAAATGTGGGGTATTGATTGTCCAACTATTCATTTCTCAAGGACTCTGATTTTAGCAGTTAATTCTAAGAGAAAACTACAGTACACAACTTTGACAATACCACCACCATTTCTTAATTTTTTATACTTGTAATCCTTACAAATCTTGTACAGATTTTGCTAATCAAATCAATGCAGTTAAATGTGTGTGCTTTTCCTGTGTGAATGCTATAAAATAAGCAGTGAATCAAAGATATGGCATCAATGAATAAAAGCAATCAACCATTCTGACTGTGCAAAACAAGAATAAAAGTAAACAGGACACACTATGTAGAGAGTTCAATAGATTCAGGAGCAGTAATAATGTCTGTGACTACTCTTTGTGATGCTGTTGTAGATGCTAATAGAGATCAAAATGTTGCTAATGTTCAGGACTTTATTTAGGAAGGCATACAAAAGTAGTGGGCTCAAGACAAGATTTTATGGGCTATTTGCGTTCTCAAGGAGTATTAAAACATGCATGTGAAATTTGGAGTTGTTCCATAACAAAGCAATTGTCCAAATAATTGCTCATGAGTCAGATATAACGTAATAGTTTGAGTGGAGGGGGATGTGGTAGTTTTTGAAAATAAATTAATTGCTAGGAGGGACACAAAGAAAGAGAGAAATGTAAACTGTGATGGACCTCTACATGTGTTTACACATCATTCAGAAGACTTAGTCTTATCTTGTATATTTTCCCGTTTAACTATTTGTACATTTTTGCCTTTCTGAACTTGTCACAGTTAAAATCTTGAGTGTATCCTTCATTTCTACTAACATTTCTTTCAGCTCTTCTTCCATGGTCACTTTAGAATTTCTATTTTAAAGACAGTTCTCTATACAAAATTAAAAAGTATCATGCAAACAGGGTGTAGGTTAAATTTTACAATTTCAATTATGTACGAACATGATATGAAATCAGTTCTTTACCGTTTTAACACATATTTGTATTAACTATTCAGTTTTTCGTTCTTTCCTACAACTTATTTGCATTATACTCTTCAATTTCACCTGAACCCAATCAAATAAGACGCCATTTCTTTAAACATACGTAACATGTTTAAGCAATCACAACGTTGGGTCTAATTTTAAATTCCATTAATCTAACATAGTTACTTTGGTAGCACAAATATAAAAACAAAGCAGCAACAATACTGCATTGTATTCATAACTCAAGGCATTATCACTAGTGTCCTTAAAAGGCAACAACTATTTTTCAAAGGTGAAAATAAATGTATTTAATACCAACATCTTCCCAATTACTGTTGTAAATTAAGAAGAAAATTTAAGATGTTCTACCACAGTAATAAAATATTCTTCATGACAGTTCTTTCCTCATGTTAAAAGTTCCCAAACCAGCTGCAAAAGATAAATTAAGTGACAAGCTATATAAATTGAAAGGCTGAGACTAAACAAAGATATCTCTCTGGCACCATGTCCAGAATGGTTCTGGGGCTCACCCAACATATTTCACAGGTACTGGCAACTATTTTCCACAGGGTTAGAGGTGGCCAGATATGAAGCTTACTACTCACTCCTATTTAGGGCCAAGAATTATGAATAACTGAGAGAAAAGCCTGATTTTATTCTTATTGTTAAGGCAAACACAAAATAAGCACAAAGATTTCTGTTTCAGGTTACATCCACTATCTGTGGTTGAACTTGTATTATCATACACATTTTTAGTATTTTCTGTCAATTGAAAGTCTGTTTCTGATCTATCCCACAATCGATAATATATACAACGAAGTTTATAATTAAAAAGGAGATTCATTCAAAATACAAAGTGCTTCTAAGCCGTTTGAAAACCAATAGTACGTACTTGCAGTGTCGAACAATACCAATGTATACATGAATCTAATTTGAGGCACTGCAACAAGGCATGTAATTGAAAAGAGGCATATGATATATATACCTATGTACATATTTTATCCAATCCAAAATAACTCATCATTTACAACTTTAAAATCACTGACAGCAGCTTCAAAGAGATATAGAAAAAAATATTCTGAAGGAAAATTACAAAGAGCATGCACACTGAAATACACATTCTGAGCAAGCCATACCTTAGCTTTCTGTGCAAGTCTCATTTCTTCCTTCTTGAAGTTACGTTGGTATGATGTAATGACCCTCCTCAGTCTTGTATTCAGGTCAACCATGGATGGCCAATGAGCCTTCTTTGGGTCATCCTCTATAGACAGCTTCTCTTCTTCTTTCGTACCAGACAGCTGATGCTCCGCTGATGATGAAGCAGATTCTGGTTGCTCTGGGGTTGGGACTGAGGACAGTTCTACAAGAATGTCTGAAGGAACTACCTCCCTCGCAGACTCTTTCATTCCCATAGAATTTTCTCCTTCAAGAGTTTCCTCGTCTTCCGTAATTTTACCAACATCATCCTCGTTGCTGTTGTAAATTATGTGAAGAAAAGTTCAAATGAAAACTCTCTACCTTATTATCAGGAAATTGTAAGTTGGAAAAGTGAACAACTTTTAGCTCAGAAAATTAAGTTTTAACTTCATGTAAACTCCTAAGGTTAGGTGCCCAACAAATCAACAGTAATTCAAACAACAAAAGAAAGAAAAAACACATGAAGGACATAAGCAGATATGGGAAACACAGACAAACAAATTCCAATCCCGTGCTGTACTATAGTTACTTAAAACAAAAGAGAGATGACGCAGATGGCAGCACTCATTCACCCACATGTACGCTAAGTTTGTATACATGAAGCTTATGTCTGTACTTCAGAGGCTTCTGTATGGAGAGATCCTTCATGCTAATTAAAGAGCATTCATAAAAATTTCTCATGTCCTCCAATAACTTACACACCAGAAGTGCTAAAATGCACATCTTGCAAATGACTACAACCAACTGTTGTAAATTTATAAATGAAGTGTGAATAAAAACATGTCATGGCATGACTTGTATTTATGAATTTAAGTCACTAAAGATACCACACTAAGCTCTGTCATTATTTTACTCAACTGAAAGTTAAGATAATAGTATCACATCATCTGAGTTCTTGGTGCAGAATTGTTCATCTATTCATCCAGAAGGGGGAGGAGGGAAAAAAATACATACATAGTTGAAACTAGTGCTTATAAGCCACAGCATGTCATGAAGGTGTTTTATATGGAAAGAAAGAACATTTACAAACTGCTATTTCTGCTTAACAAAGAAGTTAGGCATTACTGATGAGTGAAAACTGTCAGTACAACACACAAATTTACCATAAACTGCAAGGCTTTGTTTGCACATGAAGATTTGCAAGTACCAAAGCCAATGGAAACATGAAGTACAGATGATGAAATGCAGTGATACAAAATACAGATTCACTTAATATCTCAAACAGACCTGAGTGAACCTGTCTGTGATCTGAATTAGTAAAAATATTAATATGAACTTCTGGATTCTAAACTGAAAGGGTGGTATTTTATATAAAACCGCACTTTTTTTTTTCTCAGGAAGGCTATTTAGTGTACCGTAACAATAAGGACACTTTCATAGCGCTCTTGACCAACAATACGTTCAAAATAAATGATACCTAGCTATCAATTCCTTGAAGTGTAGCTTAGAAGCTGTGCTGTTCCATATCAGAAACAAACACATTTCAGTTCTAGCATCACATGTCACTCACACAAAGAAATAATGCATTAATATGCACTTTCTTGTGAAACATATCCGAAATAAATAGTCATCACACTTCTACTTAGTTTAGAAATGGCTAAACAAAATTCTGCTGCCTTCTCTGTCAATGGGGCAGCTCAACACCCAGATGTCATCATCCAAAGAAACAATGGCTACTTCAGCAAGTATTGATTCCAGCTTAAAAAAGTCACTAGTCAACCTGTGGTTGAACAAGAAATGTTAAGATGACAAATGGTAACTTGTGCAAAAGGGTGGGAAGGAGGAAGAGAAACAATTTATGGTTAAATGTAAGAAACAAGTTCCAAATTTGCTTGGAGAGGCTAAAAATAACAACATCCCAGAAGAATCGTAACAGCTAAGATTCTAGCCAGACACCTTCAAAATATAAGTCATAAAAGTCATGAAGTTCATCTGTTCAATATTTATTTCAGAATGCAATGCATATATATTATTTTAGTATGATAAAGCAGTGTGGTTGATTTTCATCATTCGAACACCTGAACATGCAATTTCACAGCCAGGATCCCAGCAAAATTCAACTGTCTTTGGATATTAGCTGTGAACATCACTCCTACAGAAGCCCATTAACACTTTACCAGATCATGAAATTAATTTGCTTGAAGGGAACAGGATGTCTGCTGCTGTCATTGAAGCAATCTGTGATGCAGGGACACAAACTGCAAACAGCAACACACACAAGCCGGCCTGCAGCAGCGTAGCAACATAATCTAATTAACATGCATGCCATACTTACACTGTCACTGTGTTATTGGCAAGCATCAGCATAGCAGAACCAACATCGGGGCCACAGCGTGCGAGGAAACCAAGTGCCGGGTCGTTTCTCATAGCAGGGTAGCATTCATAACCATGTTTGTAGGTACCCACCAGAAGTGACCTATCTGCGTCAGTGTCCCACCAGGGGGCAGGGGGCTGATCGCAATAGGGTGGGTATATCGGCAAGGCACTGTGAACATCAAGACCCGGGGGAACACAAACGGGTACCCGTGAGAATGTGTCTGCTAGCCCATCATGCCCTGAACAGGATATTGGTCATGAGGTAACAATGTGTGTTTTAGTTCATCATGCCTTCAATGAAGTTTTGGTTGTAGGTAGGGTTCTGTATCTGCCAGCCCATCATACCTAAAATTAGGATTTGGTAAGAAGTTCAATATGTTAGGTTGGGAGACTGACGGTTACCAAGCTATTTCCAAATGTGGTATATGAACTTGTATTAATCCAATTCTGTAGAAAGTTAATTCATAACCGATGTTACCTTAAAACCGCAAAACAGAAGGCCTGGTTTGTAAGAGAATAAATAAATAAAATGCTTTGGGAGAATATATCGTAACAATTTAAAATTTACTCAAGGTAAGATGCAAAAATCAGAGTCTTTGCAAACAGAAAATTGAAAATGGTACAAATGCTGTATATTATATTGTATACCAGGTTCACTTCACAGCATATTAGCTGGAAGTGCCCAGAGAGTCAGTAACAAAACTCGTATCAGTCCTTCTTGAGGAACTGATATCTCAGCTGGCAAAGAAATTACCCATGTTTAATGGATTTTAAAGGTTTATTGCTGTGTTCACCAGAGCCAGTCACTGGACACAATCCTGAGCCAGATGAGTTCAGCCCACACCTTTACGCCTTAATTCTTTAAGAATTAACTACCTTGAGAAGTTAATAGTTGCTCAGCTGGTCAAGAAATTCTCAACTTCTCATCTTCAGCAAGGTATCTACAGCAATCTCTTCACTTCTGGTTTTGGACTGCAATTTTGTACACATTTCTCATGCATCTCTAACATGCTACATGTCCCACCCATCTCATCTTCCTTGATTTTATTACCCTAGCAGTTTTTGGCAAAGACTACAGATTTTGAAGTTCCTAAAATTTTTTCCTTCATCTGTTACCAAAGAATCAATCCAAACTTCAAATGCCAATATTTAGAAGAATATCAAACAACAAACAATTTAAATTCTATCAGTTACAACAAAAACTTCACCTAAACACTGAAAATGTCCCCACTAATGAACTGAAGCAGACCTTTAAGATGTATGATAATAGCTCAGGAACCTCATTTATATGTTTTTCTCTTAACTGCTCTGATTTCTTATCTTACCTTGCAACTGTGTATCAATGCTTTTCCTTTATGAATAAAATATGTGATGCCAACAATCTGTATCTGCTGGTCTTTTCTACTGGAATTAACTTCAATTCATCGTGTATGGAAACACTTCATGCATAAGTAGGGAACTAGAAAGTCAAACACAGGGCATGCCATGGCAGGTTTCAGGGTCCTGCACAAGTTTAACAATCTAAACTCAATCCTCCAAATCTCTTACAGTCCGATAAATCACCATGATTTCCGAATCACAAATCAAAGATATGTGTATGTAAAAAATAAACAATTAATTATTCCTGGCTTTATTATTTTCATGTTCTAAACATGTATGGATGTGCAACTGTCAAGCAATGAAAGAGGTAGACACAAATCATTTTATGCACTATAAAAGATGTATGGCCATAAAAACCAGAGACAGGCATTGGAGGAAACAAAACTGGAGAGGCAAGAGGATATGACATAACTTTAAAAAAAAGCTTAAAATAAAAGCTAGTGGTGTTAAAATGTACATACCAATTTTCTCCAAAATTAAATTTGCCTCACAGCAATAAGAACCATCAAAATAAATTTTAGTGAAACATGTTCATAAATGAAACACGCAGACAAGTGGATGAAAAGTACTGCCGTTATATCCACTCACTTCGCACAAAGAACACATAATAGTGTTAACCCTAAAACTGACAAATACCTGCAAGAGGTGAAACATATTTCCAAACTTCCCTACAAATCATAGATCACACTGATTAACCAAGCCATATACCATATGTGACTTATATGTTATCTTTAACTTTTATTTTATTTACAAAATGGGTGTCATCAACACACAAATTTCAACCTCCTATTTTGTTCAACAATGCACTATAAGAGATATTTATTAACGATGTTCAAAAGAACTCGTTGCAAAAGCTAAAGAAACAGCAGAACACGGTGATTCTGACAAATTCTGAAGTCTTTTGAGGAAAGTTACCACTGTTGAAACATTTATAAAGCAGCCTAGTTAGGATATGCAGTGACATATTTCACAGATGGTGAAACAATCCTTAGAGTTTATCTTTGGCTTTTGACAAAAGAAGTTTCAAAATAAATCTGTCAAGTTTTATAATAGCATACAACAGCCAGTTTGATGTGTGTGTGGGTATTATGTTTGCTTGCTTCCTGTGAGATGTTTAAATGTGCAATGACCTTGGGAAAAACACTGATATAGCAGAGCTGATACCTGTTATCAATGTTTTCCTGTAATAGCGAGTTTTGAGAGAATTCATTTTACCTGAAAACTATTTCATATTTATATTACTACACTATATTATTATTTAATTACACTTTTTATGCCATATCTTTAAATATTTACAGTTTTAATACACAGTTTCGTTAAGGGTTAGTTAGTGTTAAAATGTAAACTGCTTCATTTAAAAAGGCTGCAGATGATGGGAAGCGCTGAGGATATTGATAAATGTAAGAAATGGAAAGAAATACAGGAGACAGAAGCAAAGGAAAGTAAAAAGAATAAAGGGAGACAAATGATAATAGGACAACTAAATGATAGAAAAATAATATGGAAGAGCAAAGGGAAGGTCATACAGGTATGCAAGGGATAAAGAAATGGAATAAAGTGGGTGAGATATTGAGATATGAAATCACTCCCCACTAAATTTCAAAAGGATATTTTTTATAACAAAATCAATATGAAGCATTAGTACCTCCGATTATTAAAGACCTGCCAGTGGTAAAAGATTGAAAAAATGCTGTAACTTTTATATATACCCTCCACTGCCAACATAAAAGCACTGAACAGAGAAGTTGACAAAACTTGAACAAAGGCCACCATCTCCAGCAAAGACAACGTGCAACAAATGTTAGTTTTGACAACAGTAATGACTTCTGGAAACTGCTGATTGGATGACAACACAAAACACAGATATATAAAATCTCCCTCAACAGCACAGCTTCAATGCACTTGAAAGTTTCCCATTTTTCAAGATGGGTAACAGTAACTATATTATGCAAGGCAATGTAAATCTAAAAATAAACCAATGCAGGACCCTGAAGGTGACAATTATGCCCATTCCAAGACCACTCACTTGTCACATCCATCCCACAATGAGGAAGTAAAAACAGGAACATTCAGACAAGTCAAAAAGTGCATCAAATTAATATCAGAACTGGCATTTGAGATTTCTATGGCAGTATAAGTTTAGACTGTGATCTTGGATGCAGCACCGAGTAATCTAGTAGGCGGTAACTTATCTTTTGGAGGCAGCACGTTTCTCCAAAACATTGGTAAACACCTACCAGACCACACAGTGTCACAACAAAACAAGGTTAACAATCTAGTATTAGCACTGGATAAAAGACAATACATTTACCAACACAAGGAAATCAACAGCACATAAAACGATATATTAAGTTTTCATTCAACCAGTGGACTGACTTTGTTTTTAACTGTGCTACAAATTCAGTCTGATTCTTCTCTCTGTGTACTTTTCAACTTTCAAACCCATTGTTGATAAAAGCATTGTCTTATATTCCACTTTGCATTTACATTAGTAACCACTTTACAGCCAATTCAAAATTCTATAAATGTTAAATACTGAAATATAGAATGATATTATGATCATGATACAGCTTTTTGACAAGCTCTGATAGGTTTTCCTTTCACACAGTGCAAAACATGTTTGGGTCAGCAAACAATATTATGGAAAACAAAATGAAAATGAACAGACACATAAAATGGCAGGCATAACAGCTTAGTAAAAGCAGCAAATAGGAATGTTACTTCTTCTTGTACTTTATAATTAAACATCAACATGCATTATGTATAAGACCTAAAATACAAGAATTTAAAATAAAGTAGCACACATCAAATATTATGCATTGTAGAAAAAGCTAAAAAATCTTCTTCATAGAACCTGCATCAACAATCAGTAAAGAACACTGTCAAACAATTCATAAAGAGAATATTTCAAAATTACACAATTCTGATACTGAATTAATTTAATATATGCAGATTCACATCTGTATCTAAAAGTTGTACACACTGTACAATGGGAATGGGAGGGGGGGTGTCAAGTGGAGACTCCAAGTAAACCTGGATGTTATGATATGTAGACAGTTAATTTACTGAGACTGGTATCCTGTCTGACTGAAGTCTGAATGTACTCTCAGCTAACAATAATAAAATCATTGTTTTCAGGTATTTAAATACCCTACACAATCTGTTTACAACTGCACACTGGTTTTGCAATCCAGAACAGTGTATAATGATACATGTCCAGATTATAAAAGTTCAGCCAGCTTCGCTCTTTAAGCGAGCATTACAGCAAAATTAAATATACAAAGAAATATATGAAAATGATTCTCCAATTTCATCATTTACATATTTTGGTTCATAATGAAACAAGCCATAAAATAGATGATCTACAGAGTGATTCATTCCTTCATTCTTGGCCTTAATACTACCTGAAGACATCATCACCCTGATGATGCAGGCAGCAAGGACCTCTGAAACAGTGGTAAACTTCTACCAGACAACCTAGACAGCCACCTTCGCACTTACAGCCATGAGAACCTAAAATCCTACACATTTTCTTTGTGTCTGCTAAATGGTAGTGATCCTTCTTGAGCTCATTACAGGTTGGTTTATGCAGAGGGGAGACAAACAGGTGTTCAGAGACCAAAAAATGTTCTGCTTGGCAAATCTTCATTCCACCGTTACAATTTCACACTGCTCATACTCTGCATTAAAAAAAGTCATAATGGATGGATGGCGGAAATAGGAACTGTTCAGCACTGTATCTCATCACAGTTGCAGACAAACACAAAGAAAGCTTAGAGCAAAAAACAAATAACAATGACTTATGGAAATGAACTGCAACTTCTTATCAAAACAGACTGTTTTTGTTAACACTGACTTACTGCATGCTGTAACATTGAAATGAACCACTCTGTAGCAATTTAAAGTGAAAACATAAAACAGTTCACTAATACTTGTTTTCTGTCTGTATTTCCTTCTTTAAAACATACCAAGATCAAACAAACACCTAAGTCTGCAAATGCATTGTAATGCTCCTTTATAGTTTCAAAGCAAAATGGTAAAATGTGTAACTTAAGAAGTCCCATAATTCTCATTATTTGTTCACAGGAAATAAAGATGTCACTTAAGACTGGAAGGCGCACACGGATGTGGCTGAAAGCACTGCAGCTGTGAATACAGATCCAAAATGAATGCAACTCTTACCTAATGTGGACCCCATCTGCTATGTGCTGGACCAGATCACCAATGATTTCATGTTTGATGTAATACAACATCCGCACCCTCAGTAGAACCCTGAAACATGAAAAGTAACATACAATAATCATCAGTTATAACACTGGTATGAGAAATATGAACTCTACATTTCATACCATGTTAAGTGGGTCCCGTCACCATGGCATGGCATATCCTCAAGTTGCGAATGGAGGAGATGGTCTCCAGGTATGGAGGGTAGCTGCAAATATATTGAATAAGCAGTCGCAGAAAGCAGATAAGGGGAGGTCCTCTAGCTTCAGAGGTTGAGTAGGGGCCAAAGAACTTTTCTCTCTTACACAACAAAAGCCTATATACAACTTTTATTTGAATATAAGCCACACATTTTTAAAGAAATCTCCATCCCCTTAAATCACAGTGCAGCATGTAAGAAAATTATTTTAATGACAAGATGATTAGCTGGTATGGCAGTTGATTAGGAAGAGTTGCATTATGGTTTTAGACACAGAGAAATAATGTAAATACTTCCATATAAAACTGTTTCACAGAAAAAATGGATGAACAAAACCGCATGAAATAATCCACCACCATAAATGATCAATGCCTATTCACAAATAAACAATGTCCAACAACCATGACACACCTTGAAATTAGTGTTTCATGAGTAGCAAAGATACTGAATTTATAGCCTCATGTCTGATGGATGTTGTATCATGTCAGAAGAAGCAACTTGCCTTGAAAACTAGGTAAGCAGCAATATGGCATTAATGGTAAAAAATATCAAACAATTACTTCGCTTTAAAATGTTCATATTAAAGCAATACCCTATGCATATGCGGGTTTCAAGAAACACTACAGCAGCCACAAATCTCATTTTCCAAGCAAATACTGCAACACAATTATCACTATTCATTTTTCTTCACTTATGAATACAGATTAAGACAATTTAAAGAATATAAACGTAAGGAAGCATTGTCTTGCAGAAGGATAAATATGGCATTAGTTCATTTTTCATTGAACATGAACTTTTGGCTGACATTTAACCTACTCACTTGTTGGCATGTCTGCTGAGATGTTTCTTGTAGTTGTTTTCCAAGAAGATGTCTCCATCATACTTCTCATGGCGGCTCCAATCATTGACATCAAGTGAATCATGATGCATATGTGCCAGAGACCGTGACTCACGGAAATCTTTCTTCGTGTGTTTTTTATTTTTCCTGCCTCGTGGGACTGGTGTATTTAAGCCTAAAATTAAAGACAAGATGTATCTCACTTATTATAATTATATATCATAAATCAAGAGTTGGTTTCAGTTTTTTAAATACAAAACATAACACACAATGGGCTTACAATGACAATTTTCTGAACAATCAAGGAACAACCCACACATAGCAATAATTCAATTTAACCTTTATCTTACTTGTGTTCCTTGGCTGGGACATGGTGGCTCTTCTACAATTTATAAATATAAAACAGTTGCAACTTCAGAATAGTGGTCAAACAACACAAACATATTTAGCAGTTTTCAGCACATTCAATGTGTCAACAAGAAGTGAACTGAGCACATTTTTCCTTACTCCCTTATCAGGCTGAACGCAAATGACTCACCGTGAAGAGAGACCATTGCTCACGTGACTTTTGCGCAAGGTTGGCAGATTTTTAGGGGATTACCTCACAACTACTTGGTAATGAGTACAGAGGTGACTGTATTTATAATTTTTATTCAAAATCAGTGATGTAAGAATTACGATTTAGTATAAGAATCAGTACGAGAAACATTGTAAAATGTTATAAATAATAGTAATTTTTTGTCCTTCACTTTCTGACTTGCTGGTTTCAAAAGCGGCGTTATTCTGAATCAGCGCAAATCGAGGTTTACCTGTATTTAATACACAATTAAAATTTGTAAATCTTTATTGCAAGGAACTTGATACATCCTATTCACAACACGCAATGGAATGAATGAAGGACTAAATAAATTATTAATAACAGTAACAACAGCCAATCTACATACCAGAGTGAATGAAAGATAACAGTATAATGAAATGAAACAAACATGTAGTACTTACTTACAAGTACACCATTCAAACTGTCACCATACACAACACAACCAATTTCAGCATTTCAGCTGCCCCCTCCCCTAAAGAAAGTATGGCCTCTTTTGCTATTAACTAAAATATTCATCCTACTACTATTATCACTATCAAGTACTGATTCACTATCATCGTCAGATATTCCTTTGATAACTTCATGACGCACATCCACTTCCTCTTACAACACTTTATTTAAGCAGGTATCATCACATTTCTCCTCTTACATACCTAGACATGAAATACTGAACCTACCGAAAAGTTGCAAACAGGTCAATTAAAAATGCAAAAGGCATCCACTGCAAAAAGTAATATAACAAACTTATAAAAACCTGACATACATCTAGAAGAATGTAATACTATGATTATCATAATATGCAATAAGCTGGCAAATGCGAACTGATTTATGATGACTCAAGTTGTGCTCTATTACATACAAAATGCACAAAATACATGTCTACAATAGTATAAAAATCTGACACAATACAATAAATTACAACAATGAAAACTGGGTCACTGGACTACAAAAAAATATATGAATATGAAACATCAAATGCAATACACTTTTAAATAAAATATATTGTGGCCTTGAGAACATGATTAAAGTAACCACAAATAAATTATGTAAATATCTAAGTAAAAACATAATCTTATTGAAAATGAAAACCAATAATGGAAACTAAATCTATCAAACTCATCTCATTGTAGGAATTCATGCTAAATATGTGTATGTGATGTTTAAAGCAGAAAAATAACTTACCCATGTGATTTCTTGGTAGCCTGGCTTCTCCATTTTCTGATGGCGTAATAAGATCCCAGATAAAACTTCGAATTTTGTCATCACCTCGATAATATCTTAAACAGAACAGCAACTGGAAAAAGAAATTCTATGTACAAATTCTGTTATAAAAGTCCCAATAACATGTATTATGTTTGTTCCCAAATCTGCGGCAATTAGAACTGAAAACAATTCATATTCAGAGAAGTACAACACCTTTCAAATTCAAACTTTTATTGGGTCCAGTCAGATAACTTTAATGTTTGTAATAATGAATTAAGTTACTGAAATTCTTTTACTGTGTTTAGCTGAAAGCCATCAGTTTTACTTGAAAACATTACTTTTTTTTATACACATCTGTGCTTAAAACAGTGCAATTCTAAATTTATATATATATCTGATCACTGTTTCCAAGATTTCAGTACCCAATCAGTTCTCTGTTCATTCTGTAATATTAACAGAGTTAGGCCATTCAATTAAAAATGTGTGTGAATTTTGTGGATCTAAAAAATGGGACAAATAGAAAAGCATGTAAAAAAGCAAGTTTGTGCAAGAGAACTATAAACAAGAACTATATCTGATTTAGATAAAGAATACTTTTTTAAAAATTTTACACTGAAAAGGGAAGTCATATTACATTTGGATAACCATGGTGCCCATAAACTGATCAAGGAACACCTTGTATTATGAGGTTGCTACTTATTTCAATGCCAATATAATTTTACCTCTAAATTATCAGATTAAGGGTCCCTCACTATTGCCCCCCCCCCCCCCCTTAAACAGAGGACAAATTAAAAAATGTAACTAATACTTACTATAACACGGGCACAATCTTCTACATCACTTTCTCTCCAACCTCGACGGAAATGACTGTGAGCCAGTATTTCTGGCCATCTTCCCCACCTTGAGTGAAGAGACACATCTTTTAAAAACAGATTCTAGGCAATTCTTAATTTCAAATCACTAACTTCTTTTGTTTCAGGCCTTTTCAATTAACTCACAGAGAACCTAAGGCTCTCTCAGTATTAGCATGGCAAGTCATCATAAACACAATTACATATAAGTAACTTCAGTCTAAACTGTAAAGGCAGAATTTTTTTTTACTATGATTTTCCACATTTGTATTCCTCACTCTAGAAAACTCTTTCATATCTTCAATTGGAACTATTCACGCTGCTATGATAACCATGTTTTGGTCCAATGTAGGGCTCAGTCAACAAACCTGACACTTTAAAAGATAAGAGAAATGTTTAAACTGATCCTGCCAGTTGGACCTCTGTTGCACTTGATAAGTTTTAAATGAAAACAACAAATAGGACCTGGCAAAATACTGTTAAAACGTGTGGATCCCAAACTGTTAATAATGTGTAAAATGTTACCATTTTACAAGACCAATATAATTACACATTTCTTTATTATACTTTTCACAATCTGCTAGTAATGAAAGTACTTTACTGCTAATTCAAGGCCACCATAACCAGAAACTTTCTTCTTGTATATTTTTCACATTTAATCTTGATCGAAAACACACTTTTCAAAAATAAGCAGAACTGTTTCTTATAATACACCAATGCATATTGTTTTAAGAGTTTCCCAATTTCCCTTCCATGACCGATAACCACAGTTTAACCCAAATGAAAACACCTTGGAAGGCAAAGCAAAGAATAACAAGCTTGTATGGACACTTTCAAGAAATAATGAAGACATAATTCTGAATATGATAGTAAAAGCAAACATCCATACAGCAGAGCAAAATCAAGATGGGAACAGGTTAGGAAAGACGTCACACAGAAGAACGACTACAAGAAAACATTGTGGGAACACAACTTGGCAGTTAGCCAGATAAATCACTTCAAGTGTAAATGTCTTAGAAAGATAACGATGCCTAGTCTCACTCAAGTAATCTATAATACCAGCACATCTAATGGCTGATAAAACTGGAATGGCATAATAAATTAACAGTTAATGACACTACACTTGTAACTATCACCTTGGTTCACTGCTGCTATCATTACCATTCAAAATGAACCAGACTTCATGAGTGTCAAAAACTATGGTACTGGCACTTATGTATACTAATAAGTGTTCAACTTACCCAAATGTCAATAGGCCTCTTTCAACTTTGAAGCATTCACTTCGGGCCCAACTGCCATAAACGATTTCACCATCTTTAGGCACATAATCATCACTCAAAAACTTCAACCTTGATTTCTTTCCATGTTTAGTCCTGCTTCTACGTCCTGTAACACAGCAACACAGACACTATTTACAAGCTTAAATCAAATCACTATTCTTTGTTATTAAATATATAAATAATAACTATGTTATTCTAAGTTGTGATGCCACGCATCATACACTCACACTTCCACACAAAACTCACCCATACACACAATGGTACAAGAAAAACCAAAACAAATTACAAAAAAACGATGATGATACTCTGCGTAGTTCTTACACAGTTTTGCAAGTGAAAACCTTCATCCCATTTTGTAAAATAGACACATTAATGTTTTCATTTTAAACCACAATTTTAGTGCAACAATGGCAAAGTAAAAATGGAATCGTACCTCTGCCTCTTCCAACTCCTATGGATGGATCTTCATCACTTTCAGAAGAACTATCCAACTCTGACATATCAACAACACTTTCATCATGGCCATACCTCTTTATTTGCGTGCGGCGTCGTGGCTCAGAAATAACCAGTTCATTCTGCAGTAGATGAAAAGTACCTAATTATTATTCCAATAAATATGACCTTTACATTAACATACATGTAAGCAGTATCTTCTTGGATAACAGGTTGTACATTTGTTTTTTTACCTTAGTCATACTATGAAGCACTCAGATATGTTGAACTTACTGTACACATTTTACTGTCAGCGATAGAATAGGATGCAATCAATATTCATGAAAACTATAAAACAAAGAACAGGGAGAAAGCTAGGACTGTTAAGCCCTTTATATATGTGTAAAACAGTGACAATCCCCAAAATGACTGCACTCAAAGGCTATCCTCAGCCACATCAGATGTGGAAAAACAGCACCATTATCATCATTCTACATAACTTTTTCAAATACCACCTACTATTACTAATTCACATGGTATAACAATTCTAGAGATTCACCACAATTTGACTTTTGTGAATGGAATCACTGACATCAGAGCTGTCTGGGACCAATGACAACTAGTGTGGATGTGTCATGAAAGGGGAGTCCTCCACATTACTCAGTGACTACCTGAGGATTGAAGATGGCTCTTCTGGGTTGCTGTGCCACATAATCTGATAAGTTCAAGAAACAGGCAACCTACATACAATATCATTTATTTACCTTGTCACTTTCCTCTACTGTATCAATCTCTGCTTTTTTAGCCCATTTTTTCCAGAAGTCTGGATCATCAATATCAATATCAGATCGAATTCCAGAAGATGCAAAACTGGCTTTGGAAAAGGTAGAACCCTTTTCTGATTCTAATGTAATGATCTGTGTGCGACGTTCTAGAATCTGATCAATATCTTCCTCACAGAATTTGTCTCCAGCACTGTCTTCATCCATTATGGCACCATATGCACCTAAAGGAAAATTAAGAGTGCTCAAATTTAATTAAAGGCTTCTGAAAATTCATGATACAGATGTAATAACATATTCAAACAATATACATTCAAAATAATGTGAAACATAGAACAATCATTTGGATACATTCAAATTCCTCGTGTTAAAACAGTTATGAATTCAGCTGAGATTATACAAAATATATTTACAAACATCGGCACGCTTTTTACATGAAATGAACTTTCTTTCTCAGCCCCATGGATGTCATTTCAATTTTTACCATCTTGTTTTAACTGTTACCTGCTTTCATAAAAAACTTGTGAAACTTGGAACATCACAGCAAAGCCATTAATAGCACCTGGGACAGAGAATTAAATGATTTAATTTGATGTGATGAGCCATTTACAAGAAAAGGAATAGATATGGACTTTATAGTAGATTTGCTGGCAGATGTACAGTTAAATATATCTGCATTTTAAAAATGTGTTAATAATTTAACCTTTCTTTAGCAGATCCTCTATCTCCTTTTTAGAAAGCTGTTTGTTGTTGTGGTCTTTGCCTTGCGTTGTGTTCATGCTCTGTAGCAATGCCTTGTCAAGCCCTAGCTTCAATGAGGCCTTGTCGAACATCTCTCGCTCATAAGTATTACGGCATAACAGACGGTATACTTTAACCATCTTCTGCTGACCAATACGGTGACATCGAGCTTGTGCCTGTACAAGAAAAAAAATTACACCAATAGTAAGTAGGATTTGAGGTTCTCATGGCAGCGAATATGAAGAGGATTGTCTTCTGGGTTGTAGCGCCATGTAGTCTTGTACAAGTTTACCAACATTTCAGAAGCCTCCTTCATCAGGGCAATGACTCATCACTACTCTTTGAACTCCAGTATTCCCCATCCTCAATTGAATAACAGACTAGTGAAGGGCAGAGGAAAGTGGGATCAAATGAGGAAGCAAAGTGGATTACCTCAGTGATGATGAGGACAGGTGGAAGGTAACTTAACAAGGGTCACAAGAACAGTACAAATAATGGTGAAGATTACACACAAATGTACTTCTAATTATTAACGCAGCCCAAAAACTAATAAAACAACCATACATGAATAAAGGTTCAATATGAGCTTGTATCAAAATGTTGAAGTGCACTTTGTAAACCTATTCTGACTTTCCAACTTCAGTAGAGATAAATGGAAGTGGGAGCATATAATTCAGAGAAACAAACCAACTGCAATAACACTATAACTTGAAGAAGTGGAAATAGATAGTGACATCTCACTGGGCACTACCCTGAGACATAGAATGTCAAAAATGCTGTAAAGGAAGATAACTTTAAACATATTTTATGATGCAAAATTATGTTTAAATAAATATTATTCTACAAATGGGTTTAAAGAGTTGCAAGATTTCTGTGAACCTGGTACTTACAAATACGTCAATAAATGTATTTCATATCTCAACATACCTGCAAGTCATTCTGAGGGTTCCAGTCACTATCATAAATAATAACCGTGTCTGCAGCTGTTAGGTTGATGCCTAAACCACCTGCTTTTGTACATAGCAGGAACACAAAACGATCAGAGTCTGGCTTGCTAAACCTGTCAATTGCGGCTTGGCGCAGATTGCCGCGAATACGTCCATCTATCCTTTCAAACGGATACCTAAAAAATAAGCATTTCCATGATCGCAACCTCATCATGTTATAAAACAGTGCTGACAGGGCTCCAAAAATGCAACTTTTATATCTACAAGCTTCAAAAAAAATCATGTATCCATATTCCCATAACACATTTTATTCAGATATTTTACTCACCTAATGGGTTCCATTAGTTCACCTACTGAAAGAGGGTAAAATATATTTCTGGAGCCCTATCTACTTGGATATATGTAATAAGTGATTGTTACAAGGTGGGTAAAACTTCAAATAATAATTTACAACACTGCAATTAATAAACTTACTTCCTGTATACCAAGTAGTCTTCTAATATATCCAAACAGCGCACCATCTGACTAAATATTAGAACCCTATGACCATTTGCTTTCAACTTTGGCAGTAACTTGTCAATTAAAACCATCTTGCCTGAAGAATGAATCAAGGCTTGGTAATAACCGTCGGGGTCATCAGGGCTCATCTGCTTTGTCTGTCGATAATCAAATTGAATCTGTTCCTCAGCACCTGGAACAATCAATGTTCACAAATTAATTTAATCTATGTGAAAGGGGAAAAGATTTCAATAAATAAAGGCCTTTAAAGAATGCGATCTTTGTTTAGAAAAAAGTACTAAAGATAAAATTTCAAAAGGACAGGAATATAAATATTTCATATAAAAAATACCTTAAGGCAGGTAATATAGAAAGAAAATCAGCTGTATGAAATGAATTTCATTCAACTGGAAACTATGGTAAAGAGTTTCAATGTTTTAAATTACAGGTCACATCTAGTCATATGAAACTAAAGTTGTGCAAGTGTTAAGTTATGAAAGTGAACCAAATAGCTTCACAAAGCTTTATTTTGATTAGGAACACTGGCATGGAGGTATGGGGTGTATAATGATATCTTGATTATTTTTCTAAGAGTAATCAACAAAGAAGGTATCCCATACAATCTGAAACATTTCTTCTGTAGTAAGAGACATTCTCAAATTGATGTCCTTTTCATTTCACTTCAGCAGAACTAGATGCACCATGTCCTGATAAATTTATTCATTCTGCATAAAGACTGATATTTTTCATCCACATTTAATCCTTTCAGCAATAACAGAGTAAATTCACAGCACTGACTTGATGTACCTAATACCATCAGCAGAGGAATTAAACATTCTTTGTTTGATGACACAATGCAGAATAAACCAATTCTCCTACATGTTGAAATTTACTATATGCAGCTGGTTTCCTACGCACATAATTAACCTAAAAGAACACGTTACAAACCAACATGCACACTGTGTATCTTAATAATTGCAGACAGTCTGCAGAAATGTTATCATCACTCATTAAGAGAACCAAAAAGAGAAAATCATCTCACCATTGAGAAGGTAGGGATGAATACAACACTTGCGGAGCTCCATCATGGTGTTCATTAAATTGGGCACATTGGCTGATGATGTACCTTTGGACAGGAATGAAAAGTTCCTTTCCAGAATTCCACGATAATACTTCTTCTGAATATTTGTAAGTTCAACCTGAAAATATTTAAGATAGTGAATATCTACAGACAATTATACAAGTAAATATTGTAAACAAATTTCCTAATTACATTCTGGCAGGAACATACACCTTCTACAGTCCACGACTGTAATCTTGAGACTTGCGGGGCGAGGAAGTGGGGTGAAGGAGGAGGGATAGCGTCTGCCTTCAACGCTACAGACTTCCTGCATTCTCAAGATTACAGTCGTGGACTATACATGCAAGGCTGTTTACATATGAAGCTACTTGCCTCTACAACAGTTTCTTCTTTTGGAGCAATTGACTTCTCAACATCCTCCTTTAGCCTCCTCAACATCATAGGTTTGAGAATTAGTTGAAGCTTTTGTACTTCTGTTTCAGTCTTCAAAGCGCCAAATTCCTGGAGAAAGGCTTCATTGCTTGAGAACTGTGTGGGCTCCAGGAAGTTAAGCAACGAGAACAGTTCATTCACGTTGTTCTGGAGCGGAGTCCCAGACAACAGAACTCTGTGCTCCTGTAATAGGTAACTTCTAGTTAAATGTACTATTGGAAGCAAACAAGTAATCAATACAGACCAAACTAATAATTTTCAACCTATGAGGTACATCTAACTTGAGTAATCTAGACTCTATTGGTAATTGCAATCATTTTATATTGTGAAGGGAGTCTTTTTCCACTAGTTGCCTGGCAACTGTTTAATTTATAAAGTGATCATTACGCTGGACCACCGATGTAACAGAAATGTATTTTCACAAGCCCATCAAGTAAGCATATTCATTAGATCAATGCAGTTTATTTTGAGAAAAAAAATCTGCATGAAGAATGTGTGCTTTCACTACTCAATCACATTACTTGGCCTTAATATTTACCAAGTTTAATCTTCTTCAACAACAAACATGTTGAGAGTTATATGCAAAAATTATCTGACTGTCTCTGCGGTGTTCACACATTCATAAACATAATGTATCATCTCACCAAATTCAAGAGCCTTAGTCCTTCAAGCAGTTTGCAATTCCTGTTCTTCAGGCGATGAGCTTCATCAATAACACAAAGCCGCCAACTGAACTCCTTCAGTTCCATACAATCAGCAATTATAATCTCAAATGTAGTTATGAGCACATTGAACTTTGGCATGTCTTTCATTGGCATCCCTTTCTCATTCCTATAGTACATCTCATACTCCTGAACCATGTTTCTACTTGCAGTCCTGCAAGCACAAGTTGTTTTTCTTTTAAAGGAAATTCTGGAGTTATAATTTCACAGGACGGGAGAGGGAAGATATATATACATATACACAAAAGAATAAATATTTTACCCAACTTCAATTTCTTAAGATGATATTAATGGCTCAGCAGTCAAGAAACTCCCTTCCTTTCATAAAATCCAAAATCTTTCAGACAATTCACTTCTTCATTTACAAATATTAAAATAAAATGGTTACTGCAAGCGCTATATAATATTCAAGCATGATGTGAAAATTTTATATGGCAAATTCAGTCCCATTCCTTAAATCATTATGAATTTATTTTGTGTTACATCTATTATCATTATTACTGTTGTAGATTTTCATGCATACATCATTAATTAAGAATTATTAATAGTAACCTGGATCTCAATAAAGCAAGATTATCTTTGAAGAACTGGCTTTTAACAAAATAAAATACTTACGATCCATGATAAACAATTACATTCATGTCTGTCCATGCTTCAAACTCCCGCTGCCAGTTGGGTATGGTGGAAAGAGGTGCTATAACAAGAAATGGTCCTCTAATACCATACTCAAGCACAGCATGAATAAAAGTCAACGACTGAATTGTCTTTCCCAGACCCATCTCATCTGCCAAAATGCAATTTCGCCTGAAATTAAAACACGGAAAATAACAAAAAAATTGTATTCAATTCAAAACAGATCTGTATATATAAAATACACGCCTATTTAATAAACTGTTATTAAACTAGTCTAAATCTTTGCTTCCTTACACAAAAAATTAATATGATGTTCAATTATATGATTTCCCTGGAACAACTGTCATTTTGACATAGGATTATTTTATATGTAATTTCCTTACCTGTTATATTTTTAAGAAACCATTAATGAAGGATATCAAAGGCCTACTGTATAGTCTGAGCCATTGAAATTGCATTAAATAAATCACAAAAAACAATACACCAGTACAAGAACAAACTCTTTAATAATAATTTAATAAATACTTATTTCAATTTTTTCATCAACCCTCCACACCGAACTCAATACCACATTTCAATCTACTTCATCTGACATCAATACAGATTCTGCACTCAGTTCCACATCTGCTCATATGCAATATCATGTCACCTGGTAGATGTATGTCTCATGAACTCTACTGAATTTGTTCATGAGCAACTTCGTCAATAGAAATCTTCATATTCTTACACTTATAAATAACCAATCAAAAAATGGAATTTTGCAGAAATATTTTGAATTACATTACTACAACACACCATACAAATATTTACTAATACGCATTAAATACAATAAACTTTAGGAACATAAAGCATTATATCTGCACTATTCATTTTCAATAAATTCCCTAACAATTTCCTATTTCATCAAATTTACACTCAATTTAGACTATCTAAAGTGAGGTATCACTGTGTGAGGGGAAAAACAATTCTTTTAAAAATTACAAACAAATCAGGAATATTACTCTAACACAGTTATAAAAGTAATGCAACTCACCCATTATACCATGAGAAGAGTAACCAATTGAGTCCCTCTAACTGATACGCTCTCAGTTTGTTTCCATTCTTGTAGTTAGGTGACTCCTCCAACTTAACCCACTCTTCACCAGTTGGCTTCTTTTTGGTCTGCAAAGGCATGTAATACACGGATTTTAACAATTTGTAAATTGACATATACAAACTGGCAACAGTTAATTGTCAATTGTCGCCTTCTGTGTTACAACACTATATATCGCCTTACAGGTCAATAGCTATGTTTTGTAGGGACATTATGCCCCAATCTTTGGGGGTACATGTTTCTCCAAAACTATGATAACTGCCTACAGGAATAATTATATGTCACAAATGAGAAGACCACGCCACATAATCATGTTCTGTTTCTCATGGGGATTAAATCATCTGTGCCACATAGTGGCAGATGTCAGAGAAAGCATTCATCAATTCAGTTATAATTTGCACTGGCCAGCAGAGATATATCACAGATGATGAACAACAAGCAAAACATAAAAGCAAATTTCTGTCCGTTATACGTGAATATATAACTGTGGGAGCATGTTTAGTGTTAATTAATATCAACTTGTACTGGAAAGGGGTTAAATCTGAAAACTTTTTAAAGATCTATCACAATATACAAAAGCAGCTCTTCTCAGATCTGTCTCCACCTCTCAAGTCCATGTGACTGCCATGTTACTGATAATGATGGGAAAGTAAAATGTTCCATTATATCTTAAATGGCATGACATTCATAATAAATTTCAGATGTCTACAAGGTGTCTGACAAACTGATCACAGATAGGTTTCTGAAGAAACTATGAACCCTTATTATATGAATGAGGATTCCACATATTATGAACATAAATTAACTTTAAATGAGAAAGTCTTACCTTCCACTTCTCTTTTGGTGGCCGTTTGATGTTGCTTTCATATTGCTGTATTTTGACAGGATCAACATCTTCTTCAAGCTCCCAGGTACTATCTTCATACTGCATGGATCTCCACTTCACAAGGTAATGTTTGATTGTCTTACCAGTATTAGGATCTGTGTGTTCTGCCATATCCAACACCCGATCGACTTCAACATAATCTGGATTGTATGGTTCATCTTCCAGCTGGAACATTTCAAGCAAACATATGGAATGACTTTCTGAACTTCTAACAGAGCACATCCATGGAAAAGTGATAGTCTAAAATTACATCCATCAAGACATGAACTTACATTTTCAAAAATATTTGCATGATGGGCCATTTTCTGCTTGAAGCGTTTTAATTTTGCCGAGATTCTCTTGTCTCCCTTGAACAGTTCATCCTCAGTCTTCCACTCGCAATGAAGATATGAAAAATTTCTGTACTTAACAAAATATTCTTCTACCTCCACATAGTGAGCATCAGATTTACTGTGAACCAAGTCCTGTTTGAATCTCTCCCTTATAGTACTATCTTCCTTGGCAACAAGCGGCTCTTTAACCCTATCACTCTTCAATTTCATTTCATCAGCAGGAGATTCTTTGTGTTTAGAAGAAACAAGCTTTTCTTCAGAAAGACTGGCAGCTGTAATACTAGGTCTGAAATTATTATTAGACAAAGTTTTGTCTTCATTTCGCTGGCCATCCTTTATAGAAACACTAACATCGGCACAAACTTCAGACTTCTCACACCTTCCTCTACCATCCATCTTCAAGCTGCCTGTTTCCAGATCAAAACTTTCTTGTGGAATAAGATCCTTGTTTACAACTTCACTCTTGATAGAAGCATCAACACTGATTTCTCCAGAGTCTAACACTACTGATCTTTCCTCCGTCCTAGTTTCAATTTGTAGTTTCACTTCTTCTTTGCTTTCAGAGGCTACTTTAACTTCTCTTCTACCTTTCCGAACAGCAAGAATGTACTGGACAACCATTGAATCTTCATCTGTTGTATTCTGAAATCAACCACAGAATGAACACCTCAGTAAACTATACATAATTGCAACTTTCACTTTCTTTACATTCATTACAGAATTTGAATCCCAATTTATTATTTTCCTTAAATTCTGAACATAATATATTGTGAACATAGGATAAATAACAATACATAATCTTTTCTTCGTGTATTCATGATTTATTAGGTAACTTCTGACTTTTATATCCAAAGCTTTCAACAGTCTTTACTGAATTACATTTCAGTAAAACACGTTCCGACAAAAGTACAGATTAACCAGAAATGCTAGAAAGTTGAAGAAATAAGAGATGGGGGGGAAAAGAAAGAGACAAAGTTAATAATACATATTAGTTTCATGCACTAAAATTAGTTAAAAACATTTTACCCTTTGAAAAACTGGTAGTTTTTATATAGCCAAATGCAGAAGATAGTATCTTAATGGTGTTTATACTCACAATATACACAAAGTTAGGTTTCACGGCAGGATCCACCGTGTCATCTAAAGAGACTTTGAAAGCATCCTGCTTAGGAGTGCCCTCCTTTGGCGAATCATCATCCGATATACTTAGCATTATATCATCTACATATTTCTTCCGATGAGTATTACGAGCTGATCGCCGTTTCTGTTAATTTCAAAATAATGAACAGGAATAAACATTTCAAAACTTAATATAATTTTAATTGTGGCATCCCACTGTTTATTTTTATATTTCATTCCACCAAACAACAATTTTTCATACATCAAGTACAGGTCAGATGCTTTGGAAGATAAATCCCAACCATGGACCTTTACATGAAATTTGAGAAAGAATCATGTATCTTATATGGAATTAGAACACTTGTTCAACTGAGTTAAAAGAATGGCCCATCATCCACCTATGACATAAATGAGAATTTATAGATATAAAAATAAAATGAGTAGAATTTCAGACCACAATTTTAAAAAAAGGACTGAAGAAAATCAAAATTTCACACGATATACTGTGACTGATGTACATGCCTAATTTAACACAATCACCAATACCAGCAGAAAACTAAAACGTTAGCATCAACGTCAAATATTTTCAGTGCAGATAATAGTTGTGTACACCAGACAAATAACTGCCTGCTGACTGGCTCTGTCACATTTCCATATTGTATATCCTCTCTATGTATCTCATTGTGCAGAGTTTCAGAGCCCCAAACTGAAAAGTATACCTATCCCTGTGCTAAGCAAACCACCATAAATATGTATGATGGAGTCGAAGCATGGGTTCTACATATTCTTAACCTCGGCATTAAGCTGAACAGTCACATTCTGGCTTGTGGATGAGGTATAAAAATTTATTATTCCAGTGCTATGAGTATACCAACTACAAATTCTTACATTCAAACACACATTTTATACACATATGAAAAAAATACACTTACATTTTTAGAGGCTTCTGAATCATCCTCAGGAGATGGGGGAGGGGTCGCCATCGTATCTTCAACATCAGACTCATCTGCTGTGTTCAGTTTGTTCTTCTTCTTCTTTGAACTTCCAAATGTACTTCTAAAATAATGCAGAATTTACTCATAAAAATAAAGATAAGACAGCTTCATTTATTACAATATTGTACAGGGTTGGCATTGGTAATAAAGAAGTTCACACACCATGGCAGTGTATTTGTTAAGGCAAAGTGACATGCTGCAGATACGGAAACAAACACCTCACTACACAATAATCAACCATACACGACAAAACAATCACTTTGTCTTATATCAACTTACTTTGAATTCTTCTTTCCTGGAAAGATTGCCTTCACTTTGGGTTTCCTATCCCTTTTTGGTTTCTTAGCTATGGGAGTGCCTTTCACTGAAGATTCAGACAAACTCTTGTTTGGACTTGCTGGATCTTCAGACTCTTTAATACATATAGGTTTTTCTGAATCATCCTCTACTGACTTGCCAGCAATCTCTATTATAGAAAAAGGGTCAATGCCAGTGGTTACAGGGGTATTAATCGTCGTGATGGTAGCAGCAACTGTAGAAGTAGTCAGACTGCTGGCAACAGAAGTGGTAATAGAAGCAAGACTGCCATCCAGAGACTCGATAATCGTAACAGTAGGTGAACCTGTAATGGGCGCTTCTGCTACTACTAATTCTTCAGTGCTTTGATCCACTGCTAATGGATCTGTAAATTCTAAGCCCGCACCTTCCTTCTTTTTCTTTGTATTTCTCCTGCAAATAAAATAAAATACATACTCTCCACATTTAGCTCTTTCACAAATGACAGATGGTGGAGGAAACATGATACGTTGATTTATTCTTTGGCAATCACACTTTTTTCAATGAATAAATCAGGCAGCATCATACAGTAGAATAACTGCAACTGTGAACTTAATACAATCATCTTGGACAACAAACCATGGCAGTTGTCAACAAAAGTCCACATCTTTTGTCCAAAACTCATACGGCTTGTTGCCAATGAAGGTTTTATTGAGTTGAGTTGCTGAGAAAGCTTGAAGTCTTAAACAATTTTAGAACATTAAAACTCACCTTCTAGGTTTAGGTGGTTTAGGATCACCTGGTGCTTTTGGTTCACGTTTCTTTTTTGGTTCCTTTGGAGCTTTTGGCTCCTTAGGAGGCTTTGGTTCTTTCGGTGGTTTAGGTTCTTTTGGCGGCTTCGGTTCTTTCGGTGGTTTAGGTTCCTTAGGCTTTTTAGGTTCCCTAGGTTTCCTAAAATGGGGGAAAAATTAATGCTACATACAAAACAATTCAGTCTGTATGACTGGAAGCAATTTATTTTGTGTAAAACATTGCTTAAGTCTAAAATTTATAGCCTTTACAAAGGAAACAAACATCTTATATGCATGTTTGTCGAACGCTTATCTGTCATTCTCCAATAGTTTTTGGAGATCAGATTAGTAGCACACACAAGTCACTGTACAAGGATTTCATTCTGACTGCTGTTACAGTCACATGAAGAATATTGTACAACAAATAATAGCCTGTCAACAGATCAATGCAGGTTAAAGGCACGGTCCCTGTTTATGTAAAGTAAATGAATGAAAGTATATGGGGAGAGGGGAGGTAAAGCTAGGTGTAGTTTTACCACAATGCATACTGTTCATGTTAATGCTCATGATCCACATGCCATCTGCATACTGGACACAAGAATTACCATGAATTTTCATCCCACCATTTTTGCATGCTTATAGATTTTTAAGGCTGTTCAAACATATGATTTGTACTCAAGCACTAAGCCATAGCACAATTAAATGAACATAAGATATGAGCTCCACACTCTTCACTGCTTTACCCTTTGGCAAAGAGCTCACAGTGCCAACTGGAGAAAGGAGGTTTGAAGGTCCCACAGCAGGTATGGACATCACAGGGAATACAAACATTTCTTCCAGGAATCAAACCTCAAATGTTCAAACTGTGGCTAGACACTTCAGCGACCAAGATGTCTCATAAATAATGCAGGCTGGACTCAACTTTCTTTTCCTCAACGTACCCAGGGATACGGTTAGTTTGGGCTCAGTTCTGCAAGAACAATGCTAAGACTCATTTATGTCTGCCTGAAAAAATAAAGACTACCTACTCTTGATGACAGGGTGAAGAAAAATATGATGATTAGAACAGCTAATGTAAGGCACAACTTACAAGTTAATTCATGCTTATGTCCTGCCCCGATTCTGAGACATGTAAAGAAAAGGGAAGGTATATAAAAAGCCAATTACATTTCAGGTACGGCATGTTTCTACAGGTGTGGGATTTAAAAGCCTTAGTACAAAATAAAATGTTAAAGACATTGCATGTGAGAAAACCCCATTTTATTTCTTTTACTACACAAAACTGAACACAAACAAGCAGATTCACATTGCCACACCCTGTTTCACAATGCAACTCTAGTGTTACATGAGAGAAAACTTACCTTGGA